GTCTCCCACATGTTGTCTCTCGAGTTTTTTTTTTTTTTTTGTGTGTGTGTGTGTGTGTGCGTGCACCTCTGGTGTGTGTGACACATGTGTGTGGGTTCCTGAGGAGGCCAGTAAGCAAAGGTGGATCCCATGGAGCCTGAGTTATAGGTGGTTGTGAGCTGCTGGAAGTGGGTTTGGGGAAACAAACTTCGGTCCTCTGGAAGGTCACTTAGCCATTGAGCCATCTCTCCAGCCTCATGTGGGTTGTCTCTTTAATAAACTGTTGACCTTCCTTCTCAACTCTGCAGTTAAAGAGTCCTTAGAGGATCCAAGGTTGTGTCATTGCCACCTGTGTTTGAGAATAACACATTCTAGTTATTCATCAATGATTCTGTCAATTGTGATTTTAACCGACTCTTCAATGATCAAGATACAATGAAAGTTGTAAGAATATATTTGATTTTGGCAGCTTCCAATGTGTATGGTGAATTTTCTTTGGCTTCCCAAAACATTGGTAAGATGTTTCTTCACCCTTAAGTCTTCCCACAGCTCTTTGTTTACATATGGGTACTTTAAAAGAAAGGTCTGATACTACTCTTGTATCAGGAAAAATTATCAGTGTGCATAGAATTTGGATCTATGCAGTAGATACTCAGTAAATTCTTGATAATCTAGGTCCTGGATGGTGAGCTTAAGGGAGTGAGAGAAAGATTCTATGTCAGGTGTTTGGGGAATCACATTTATCAACTATATCAGCATGAGTGGTTTCTAGAGAGACAACAAAGTGTTGGATTAAGAGATTGAACTCAGGAATCATGACTCCTCTCTAAGTTCCTAACAGCTTTTTACATTCTCTAAGCCTTGGTTTCCCTATCTGTAAGTGGTGATGGAAAGGTGCTTTCATAAAATGTTAGAAACAGTATCTAAGAAAATTAGCAGAACCTGCCGTGTATTAGGAAGAATATACATTGACTAGCTGTTGTGATCTGCAGATGACCTGTTGAGGTGTGAACCATCTCTCCATGCCCTGACCCCCTAGAGCCTCAGATTATCATACCAGGACACTGTCTTTAATGGAGTGATGAGGTCATAGGGGTGGGTCTTCCTCAAGGATGTCTAGCTTACTTCTTTTTTCAGACAGGGTCTCCCTTTAGCCCCAGCTGGCCTTGAACTCACTATGTAAATCAGCCTGGTCTCAGTCTCAGAGATCTGCCTGCCTTTGCCTCCCAAGGGCTGGGATTAAAGGCCTGAGCTGAGCTGTAGCTTCCATCTATGAAGAGGTTTAGATGGGTGCCAGAGGGAAGACCTCACAGATGACAGAGAAGTCTGCCATCTACCAGGCAAGGAGAAAGGCCTTGGAAGAAACCAGCCCCTCTGGCACTTCTGTCTCAAATTTATAGTCTCTAGAACTGGAAAATAACTTTCTGTTATTGAAGCTCTCTCTGTCATGGTGACCCTGGAAGACAAATACTGGCCCCCAAGCTGAGAGGCTTTTTAACTCAGCCCTTTGTGCCCAGAAAGATCTTATCCCACATGGGATCCTACACACATAAATTATCCAGCAGTGATATTCTAGTTGAATTAAATGAACCAAATGTTCTATTTTCGCTTTTCCTTCCATGGATTTTTTTTTTTTACTTCCTTATGGTTAAGGAAATTAAGTGAAATTTCTTGTTTCACCACACAGAAGCCTGTCATCAGCATCCTCTGAATATCAGTGTCTCAGACCACTCTCTGCCCCAATTTTCCCCTTTGTATACTGAAGAACCTAGGGGTCTGGGATGCTGACTCTTTTCCTAACAATTTGGCAGCTGCCTTACATGGGATTCAGAGACTCCTTGCTTCGTCTCATCTTTCTGGATTCTGATGTCCTATTTGTGTAATTTTAAAAAATTACATTTGTTTGTATTTGTGCACACAAACACACTTGCCATCGTGTGCACATGGAGGTCAGAGGACAACTTACCGGAGTTAGTTTTCTCCTTCCACCTTGTGGGTCCTGGGGCTCAAACTCAGGTTACCATGCTTGGTGGTAAGCATATATTTAAAAATCTAACTACAGTGGCATATAGTTAGTGAGGGCTGGAAGGTAGGGACAGAAGGATTCCTATGTATGACTGGCCAACCACCTAGCCAAATCAGCAAACTGGAGGTTCAGTGAAAGACCCTGTCTCAAAAAATAAGGTGAAGAGAGATTGAGGAAGACATCTGATGTTGGCATGAGCACATGTATGCACACACATAGACACAAAGTAGGAACATGTATAGCAAAAGAAAGTGTACAAACTAGACTCTGTAAGTGCATACATTCATGTGTGTGCATAAATACGCATACATGAAGATTTTTTTCATTCCTGAGAAGTCAGTGAATTTTTTATTTTTTTTTTGCTTCAGCTATCCTTTTAAAAATAAGAATTGGTCAATTCCAAAAATTCTCTTTGGAATGCAGATCTGCTTTGCTTATAAGTGCCAATGTCAGGTATGTTAGGAGTCCAGCTAGCAGGCACGAGACAGGAAGTGCTTGGCATCTGAGACCCATGTCCCCTCAGGAAAGCTTTTCTGTATGCTTCTGTTAAGGCCAAGGGAGGCTACAGCTCAGGTTCCAGGACAGGTCATGGAGAGGACCTGTTGGAAGGCAAACCTGCCTGTTCATTCATAGCACTTGAGAGCTAGTATACTTCACAGTAGAGGTTCAGCAGAGACTCTGGGTTTTGAGACTGAAGTTAACTTTGTTTACATCAATTTGAAAATAGAAGATGGTTGGTTATGCATGGATCTTTCTGCCTATGGATGACTCAATGGGGAACTGATTATACGGGGAACAAAAACTCTCTGAACCCATCAGATGACATGTAGTGATATATTCAACCAAGGCAAAGCAGTTACAACCCACAGATTGCTCTCTCCTCTTGTGTTTGTCATAGTCATTCTCCATCCATGCTACTCCCAGAGGCCCCAAAATTGAATGCAGAACATTGGTTAAGACAAATTAGAGAAAGCCGTGGTCATGCATACCCTCAGTAGGGTCTTCCCTGTGCTCTCCAGTTTCATCCCCACATTTATACACATGGATAGCCACTATTCTTCTCAGGACCAGCTACACATTTGCCAGTCCCAAAGCCCTTGTTCAGTTAAGAAGTCAAGAATGGCAATGGGAGAAGCTTCAGCCAGTAGAGGTGCTTGCTGCCAAGCCCAATGACCTGAGTTCAAGTCCTTCCACATGGTGGAAGGAGAGAACTGACTCCTGCAAGTTGTCCTCTGACCTCCACATGTGTGCATCATCCTCATGTGCATGCAGGCACGTGCACACACACACATGCACAGACACACACACAGAGCAAATAAATGTAATAAAAGAATAATGGGGAGAGGTACCACTACATGAATCCAGGTCCAGGTAGTGGGCCCTGCTGAGCACAGGTTCTGTGGGACCCTGCTGTTCACACATACACGAAGCTGGTCCAGTCCCTTCTCCCACCTTCTCTTTTGCTTTCCAGAATTCTGAGTTTTGCCTCTGAGCAGCTCAACAAATTGTCAGAGCTACACACATACATCACCCTTTCTCCTGTTCTGTCTTGTTGGGAACCACAGACAGTTTTATTGATGTGAAGAAAAGGCAATGCAATGAATGTGTCAGTGTTCGCTGGCTCACATTTTCCATAGAGAGGCGAACTTGGGGTGTGTGCCTCCTTCCAGACACCCTACTAAGGCTGGGCTTCTTAGAGAGGGGGGATTGTCAGGGCTACCTGGAAGACACGGGGTTTTTATTCTGTATGTCTAATTGAGACATACTCTTAAAGCAGCTTCCTGGGAAACTACTGGACAAGAAGCCCTTGAGGACTATTCTAGCTACCTATTATTTTATATAGCTTATGGCTGCTTTATCACTATTCTATTTTCAGAAATTTATGCATATATATGCACTGACTCCTTTATAGCAGAATCTGTCTAAATTAACATTTTGAGTCTTTGTGTGTGTGTAGTATATGCACATATGCATGCACATGTTTGTGTGTGGATATGTATACATGCCCATGCATGTGTAGAGGAGGATGTCTAGTGTCTTCTTGCTCTGTCACTCTCTGGCTTATTTGATTGAGACAGCATGGCATCTCTCACTGAACCTGGAGCTAGGCTGCCAGCCAGCAAGTCCCAGAGATCCTCCTCTGCCCTCCCCAACAGTACAGGGATTGCAGGCATGCATAATCATGCCCAGCTTTTTACATAGGTAAACAGGAGATTTGAACTCCGGTCCTCATGCTTACCCTGTAAGTGCTCTTACCTACAGAGCCATCTCCCAGCCCAAGCCCTTTCTTGAGCATTTTAAACTCTAATCTGGCTTGTAAATTCTATTTGGTGATGATTATCTGACTTACAGTGAATTTACTCGGGCTGGATCTAGCAGTGAGGCCACTAACTAATCACTGCAAGCAACCAAGAGAAAGACAATGAGCAAAAGCCACAAGTCTCGACAATATTTATTGTATCATATGGCTAATGTAGAAAGACGCAATAGAACGATGTATCTCAGGGGCTCTTTCAAAAGGAAAATCACTTGAATTAACTTTTCAGGCAAACCAAATTATGCATATGCCCCTCCTTGTAATGCGATACAAAATCAACGTTTGTGGAAAGAACAGGAGGCTATAAATCACACCTTTCAGAAGAACCCTTGTATCTACTGGGATTTCCTGCCCCCCTTGTTTTGCTTTTTGGCTTTTAGATGAATGAAGAATTTTCTCAGCAAATTATTAATTACTCTGTCTTGCCTATAGAACCAAGTTCCCCGTAGTTATGTAGAAGTCAGTGCTATTCAAACTGCTGCTTTTGATGAAGTAATCGTCCGCTCCTGGGGCCTCTTTTCAGCTGCCCTGGGCGTGCTTCCCATGTAAACGACTGCCAAATAGATTCTTTCGACATTCCAGCCAATTAAAATACATTTAAAGTGCAGCTGGTGGAAAGGCAAACCAGGCGAACCCCATCGAGCAGAGAACTTCAGGGCAGTGAGATAGAAAAACAAACTTTGGGAATCCCACAAGGCAGTGGGGAAGTAAGAGAAGGGGCGCTACCTTTAGCGCTTGCCACCATCAGAGATGACACCTGGACCTCCACCTTAAAAGACACCAAGCCTGCTTGCTAGGGTGTGAGTTTTTCTCTTGTTGCCTGTGGAAACTGAGTGTTGGCTGGGTGCCCAGTGTGGTGCTGCATTCAAACATCCACAGAACACAGGCGTGTTTGTTAAACCCGGACCCAGCAAGCCAGTGATCAAAAGTCTTGTAGGAAGATCCGAAAACCCCAGGAACCTTCCTGGTTGGCGTTAGAACTCTGATGGGCAGGGACAGAAATCACTGAGGGGGCTAACCGGGAAACATCCACCGGCCTGTCTTTCAGGTAAGGATAAAACTTTCTTTGCTTTTCTAACCATTGACTGTGGATGTTGGTGGAGAGAATCAAGGTCACTGCATAGAGCTCTAGTCTGGAGCTCTGATTTGCAGACATCTGATTTTTCTGGAGGACTCCGAGGGGACTGCACTCGCTGTAAATAGACACAGGCATCACACAGCACGTGGAGGCTGCGTGGGCGTTTCCGAACTCACATTGGTGGCTTTGCACGTGCTGCCCTCGTCTCGGTTCTTCTGGGGCCTGCTTCTGTGTGTCCAGGTGTGTGGAATCTGACAGTGACTTGCTTCCTCCTTGAAACTGATAATTTTGATCTAAATGCCTGTTTGAGTTTTATTTTCCTTTTCTGTGTGGCTTTGTTAATTTTGCTACCAGCCCCAAGAATGTGAATAATATTTTGTTTTTGTTTTTTCCTCCTGGGCTAGTACTAAATCAAACCTAACTTCCCTGCTTTCCAGAACCAAAATCAACATGTTTGGAAATGCCTTGATGATTTGTTTTTCTCCAGAGATGCTCTGAACTGGGGAATTCCTCTGGACTCAGCCTTTCTTCACATTATAAGGAAAAAGACATAGCTGAGTCTATGCTACTTATAGTTCGATGGTTTTCCAGCTTTGGGCCTATTTCCCTGCTTATCTTAAATACCTGGGCACCGGCAGCAGATGTACAGCCAAGCACTGGGCATCAGTTCCTCCGAACCAGATGAAAGATGCGCAAGGTTTCTGATTGTTGCCTATCTTGGCTTGTCAGGGTCAGCCCTCTCTGGCTTCAATTTTGTTCACCACAAACAAAGAATCTTGAACATTTCCCAGTGAGGGATCGCATTGCAGCGTCCTGAGCTCTGTTAAATGGGCTTTATTAATCTTTAACGTGCCAGTAGCTCAGAGGCTATGCCAAGCTGAGACTTTTAAAAATTCTCTGAACTGCCTGCTGTCAAGATAAACAGTGGTTGGCCCAGGAGGGGTATTTTAAGGGAACTTGCAAAAGCAAAGTTTTACCCATTAAGTGTGCCATGAGTCAGTGAAAGAAATCTTAAATAAAAGAGATTTCAGAAAGATCTGACTCAGCTCTCTGCCCCTTAGATGAGGGACCCATTGGGGAGACTGGGGAGAATTCATCTTCTGGCATACACAGGATTGTGTCCTCTGGATAGGTGAGGGAAAAGTCACTTAGCTCTGTTGTGAACATAGGACTCTATTTAGGAAATGGGTACTGTGTGAATGGAGATGTATGTGATTGCAAATAGCTTCCCTGTAGCAATGTCAGAGCCTGGAGGAAAAGCAAGGTTACATGTGTGGCCCCTGCAACTTTAGACATCTTAAAAGATGGAGAGGTTTGTGTTGGCCTCAGAGGTCCTTTGGACCAAAATGCAACTTTATGCAGAAAGATGATGGAATGGTGGACCTCAGACAATTGGATGGTGAGGTGATACATTGACTTGGAGGATTGGTGAACCTGGGCTTGGCAGGTGGGGTCTGGAGAAAGATTGATTATGGCCTCTTTGTGCTTTGAGTTACTCATCAAACCAGTGCAGGATGAAGGGTACCATGGTGATTCCTTGAGGATGAGGAGTCTCAGTCCTAGCTGATTCTGCCTTTAGACACAAGTCCTCTAAGCAGGGACTTCTTTTTAAATATAATCTTACTAATTCTTTGAGAGTTTCATACATGAATACAACAGATTTTGATCATATTCACCCCCACTCCACTCTCATGCTCCTCTCAGATCCGCTCCTACCCTATCCCCCCAAACCTCCCAACCTTATATCAGCCTTTTTAAAAAAAAAAAAAAAATAACCCACTGGCTTCAATTTGTGCTGCTCACATACTCCTGGGTGTGGGCCAGCCACTCTAGCATAGTTGACCTACCAGGCGCCACACCTTTGAAAAAAACTGATTCTTCTTCCTCCAGAAGTCATCAGCTGTCAATCTCCTCAGCTAGTGGTAGACTCCGTGAGCCTCTCTACCCCTGAGGCTGGAATGTTGACTGGCTTGATCTTGTGCAGGTCTTGTGCCGGCAGCCACAACTGCTGTGAGCTTGTAAGTATAGAAGTTCTGTCATTTCCAGAAGACAGTTTTGGTCCTGTCCTCCCCAACCTCTGGTTCTTTCAGTCTTTCCATTCCCTTTTCCTAGATTGTTCTTGATTCTTTGGAGGAGGGATGTGATACATATATATATATATATATATATATATATATATATATACACATATATATGTCCCTTTTATGACTCCATTTATGATCACTCCACAGACACTCTCTATAAGAAGATACTTCTGACAGGATTGCTATGAAGAAAGGCCTGAACTGACTGGGAAGAGCTCCAACAGCTTTTCTGATTTAGGAATCAAGACAAGGAGACTCTACCAAAACACTCAGGCAATAAGGAGGACGATCAAGAGAGAGGGAGGGCTGCAGTTAGGCAGGTGGTCTTGTTGTCTTTAAAGTCAAGTCCAATCTCCTTCCTGTATCTTAGGCTAGGGGTTGACAAGCTACAGATCACAGGCAAAAACCTGTCCACTATGTATTTGTGTAGATAAAATTTTATTGGAAGGCAGCTATACCTATTTGTTGACATATTGTCTGTGGCTGCCTCTAAGCTGCTATAGCAGGGTTGAGTCATTGCTGCAGAATCCCCTTGGCTCCTACAAAGCTGAAAATACTATCTTCAGGAAGAGTTGGAGGGGTTAAACTTGAAGAATGATGTTTTTCAAGGTATCTATGCACTAGTTTTGCTTTTAATTCTCATTCGGTAGTGTATTGGTAGTTTTATAAAATGTGATTCAAATATTGCTTTAATGTTGTGGTGGTATGAAACTGCCATGAAATTTGTGAGCACTTATTCTTTGTGTGTGTATATGTATGTATTCCTGTATGTATTTTTTGTGTGCATGTGTTGTGTGTGCACCTGTGGGTGTGGGTACACATGCATGCATAGTACACATGTAAAGGTCAGAGGATAACCTTGGCCATTGCTTCTTAGGCACCTTCCACTCTTTAGTTTGATATGTCTCTCATTGGCCTGGAACTTTGCCTTGTAGGCCAGGCTAGCTGGCCAGTGAGCTTCTAGGGCTCTGTCTTTCCCTCCCATTTTACCATCACTGGGATCACAGGCATGCATGGCTTTTTACCTGATGTTGTGGTTTGAATGTGCAATGCCCCCCCCCCCCCCAATAAGTTCATGTGTTTTCATACTTGGTCTCCAGCTGGTGGTACAGTTTGAGAAGGTTATGGAACCTTTAAGAGGTAGAGTCTTGTTGGAGGAAGTGCATCACTGGAGGTGGACTTTCAGGTTTTATAGCCTGGCCTCACTTCCTGTTTTCTTTCTCTGCTTCCTGCATGTGGATGAAATGTAATCAGTCTGCTTTGGGACTGTCAGACTAGCCACATACTCCTGCTGCCATACCTTCTCTGCCATATGAAGTGTATTCCCTCTAGAAATAATAAGACTTTCTGCCCTAACTTGTCTTTTGTTAGGGCATTTTATACTGCAACAGTAAAGTAACAGTAAAGAGCACTAGCATGTTCTGAGACCTGAGCTTATGCCCTCACCCTTGCAAAGTAAGTGCTTTACCCACCGAACCGTTTTACCAACCTGTATTTACTCTTAGTTTTGCACTGCTCTTGTGCATGTTGTTTGCAGACTGGCACAAGTCTGTGGGCCATACTTCAAGCAGCTCTGAGCCCTGTTTAGGTTTGTGTGTTATTTTGTGTCACTTGTCCCAAATCATGCTGTTCTGTTCTCTAAGGAATGAACTTAGCAAACTGTTTCCAGGTTGAAGCCTTAGCTATTGATGTTTGCTTTGCCTAGAAGTTTCTTTCTGAAACTCTTTACTTAGTTCTTTCTTTGCTCTATCTACATCTCTGTTTAAATTCACTTCATCAGGGCTGAGGAGATTGGGAGATCCTCATTTGGTAAAGTGCTTGTCTTGTAAGCATGAGGACTTGAGTTCCATCTCCAGAACCCCCATGAAAAAAGAAAAATAACAGTTGAATGTAGCTGTACTAGTGCTGGAAGGTAGAGACAGGCAGATTCCAGGGGCTCATGGTAGCCAGACAGTCTACTTGGCAATTCTCAGGCCAGTGAGATTCTCTCTCAAAGAAACAAAGTGGATGGCATTGAATAATGATAATGATATTCCAGGCTTTCCACTTGTCTCCACATGCCTGTGCATATGCACCTGCACACACAAGTACATACACATAAACACACACAAACACACATAGACACAGAAACAGACACAGACGCACACACAGATATACACATACACATACACACACAGAGAGACACATGTATACAATATTCATAATCAGTTAGGTCTCTTGAGCACTTCACCTGAAAAAAAAATTCACTCATCTTACCTTGGTTTTTCTTTACATTAATTTTTTTACATTTATTTATTTTGTGTGCATATTTGTGTGGGCACACATGTGCCATGGCAGGAATGTGGAGGTCAGAGGACTATATGAAGGAGGTGGGTCTCTCCTTCCACCATGTGGTTCCCAGGGATTGAACCCAGGTCATTAGGCTTGGTGGCAAATGCCTCTACCAGCTGAGCCATCTTGCTGACCTGCACATAAGTTTTCTCATTGCACTTATTACTATCAATGCTTCTCCTATTATCTCTTTATCTTTGTAGTACACATTTCTTTATTGACCAGGATTCAGTGATGGATACCACAGCCCATTTTGACTGGTTTAAGTAGAAAAAAAAGTTTTCTCATTGATTTAGGTGGCAGTGGGCAGAGTGCCAAGAGGAACTCTTGGAACAGGATAATGGAATCTACCAATGTGTCTACGTTAGCATAGATCTAGGAACTGGGAGGCAGTGCAATCACGGCTAGCTCCAGGGCCACCCTGCTTCTGTCTTCTCTGTTCATGAAGGTGGGGTCAGGAACCTGGAGCCCTTGCTGTGGCAGTGGACAGCCCAGCATTCTTCCCATAACAGCAGAAACATAATAGTGTGATTTGAATAGTGTTTACTTGAGACC